TGGGATTGCTGGATCATATGGTAGTTCTATTTTTAATTTTTTGAGGAGCCTCCATACTGTTTTCCATTATGGCTGCACCAATTTCCACCAACACTGTACAAGGGTTCCTTCTTCTCCATATCTTTACCAATACTTGCCATTCTACTAGATGTAAGGTGGTATCTCATTGTAGTTTTAACTTGCATTTCACTGATGATTAGTAATGTTGAATATATTTTCATATAATTGATTGGGCATTTGTATGTTTGCTTTTGAGAAGTGTGTATTCCGATTCTTTGCCCATTTTTTAATTGGGTTATTTGTTTTCTTAGTTGAGTTCCTTGTATATTTCAGATGTATGGTTTGCAAATATTTTCTCCCATTCCATAGGTTGTCTCTTTACTTTGATGATGGTATCCTTGGCTGTGCAGAAGCATTTTAGCTTGGTGTAATCTCATTTGTCTATTTCTGCCTTTGTTGCCTTTCCTTTGGGATTCACATACAAACAAATCATTGCCCAGGCCAGTGACAGGGAGATTTCTCCCATGTTTTCTTCTAGTAGTTTTACAGTTTCAGGCCTTATATTTGTCTTTTTTTAAAATTTATTTTTGTATATGGTGTGAGATATAGTCTAATTTTACTCTTCTGCATGTGGGTGCCTAGTTTTCCCAACAACGTTTATTGGAGACTGTCCTTTCCCCATTTTGTGTTCTTGGCATCCTTATTAAAAATCAATTGACCCGGGGCCGGGCGCGGTGGCTTACGCCTGTAATCCCAGCACTTTGGGAGGCCGAGGCGGGTGGATCACGAGGTCAAGAGATCGAGACCATCCTGGTCAACATGGTGAAACCCCGTCTCTACTAAAAATACAAAAAATCAGCTGGGCATGGTGGCGTGTGCCTGTAATCCCAGCTACTCAGGAGGCTGAGGCAGGAGAATTGCCTGAACCTAGGATGCGGAGGTTGCGGTGAGCCGAGATCACGCCATTGCACTCCAGCCTGGGTAACAAGCGAAACTCCATCTCAAAAAAAAAAAAAAAAAAAAAAAAAATCAATTGACCCTAAATGTTTGGATTTATCTCTGGACTCTCTGTTCTATTGTTCTGTCTCTGTATACCAGCATGATATGGTTTTGGTTAGTATAGCTTTGCAGTCAGGTAGTGTGATGCCTCTAGCTTTGTTCTTTTTGCTCAAAATTGCTTTGGTTTATTGGGGGTTTATTTTGTGGTTATATACAGATGTTAACATTGCTTTTTCTATTTCTGAAAAATGTCCTTGGAATTTTGATAGAGATTGCGCTGAGTCTGTAAATCACTTTAGGTAATATGGACATTTTAAACAATTTTATGCCTGTTTATGAACATTGTATATCTTTGTATTTGTGTCTTTTTCAGTTACTTTCACCAGTGTTTTATAGTTTTCAGTGTATAGATCTTTCATGTCCTTTGTTAAATTTATTCCTAAGTATTTAAATTTTTTGTAGCTATTGTAAATGAGGTTGTTTTCTTCAGTTTTTCAGTTTGTTCATTATTAGTATATAGAAATGCTACTGTTTTCTAGGCCAGGCATGGTGGATTATGCCTGTAATCCCAGCAATTTGGGAGGCCAAAGTGGGCAGATCACTTGAAGTCAGGCGTTTGAGACCAGTCTGGCCAACATGGTGAAACCCTGTCTCCACTAAAAATAAGAAAATTAGCCAGGCATTGTGGTGCACTCCTGTAATTCCAGCTACTTGGGAGGCTGAAGCACAGAATCTCTTGAACCCGGGAGGCGGAGGTTGTCCAGAGTGGGCGACAGATTGAGACTGCACCTCAAAAATAAAAAGCTATTGATTTCTGCATGTTGATTTTGTGTACTGCACGTTTACTGAAATTTTTAGTTCCAACAGATTTTTGATGGAGTCTTTAGGGTTTTTACCTAGCTTGTTGGTTGCTATGTAGTATTATGGGTTTTTTTTTGAGACAGAGTTTTGCTCTTGTCACCCATTATGGAGTGCAATGATGTGATCTCGGCTCACTGCAACCTCCACCTTCCGGGTTCAAGTGATTTTCCTGCCTCAGCCTCCCGAGTAGCTGGGATTACAGGCATGCACCACCATGTATTTTTAGTAGAGACATGGTTTCACCATGTTGGACAGGCTGGTCTCAAACTCCTGACTTCAGGTGATTCACCTGCCTCAGCCTCCCAAAGTGTTGGGATTATAGGTGTGAGCCACTGTGCTCGGCCAGTATTATGTGTATTTATTTTATTATTTTACTTTTTCTTTTTTTTTTTTTTTTTTTTTTTTGAGATGGAGTCTCACACTGTCACCCAGGCTGGAGTGCAGTGGTACACTCTCAGCTCACTGCAAACTCTGCCTCCTGGGTTCAAGTGATTCTCTTGCCTCAGCATCCTGAGTAGCTAGGATTACAGGCAAGTGCCACCATGCCTGGCCAATTTTTGCATTTTTAGTAGAGACGAGGTTTCACTATTTTGGCAGACTGGTCTTGAACTCTTGACCTCAGATGATCTGCTTGCCTCGGCCTCCCAAAGTGCTGGGATTACAGGCGTAAGCTACTACGCCCAGCCAATTTTTGTATTTTTAGTAGACTGTATTTTGCCATGTTGGCCAGGCTGGTCTCGAACTTCTGACCTCAGGTAATCCACCAGTCTTTGCCTCCAAAGTGCTGGGGTTACAGGTGTGGGTCACTGTGCCCGACCATATTATGCACATTTAAAAAAAATTTATTACTCTGTGTTTGTATGTGTATGTGTGTATGTAAAAAATAATTTAGGGTGATTATTCTAGGGGCTAAGAATTTTCCTTAAAGATAGGGTCATTTAAGTGGCAGTGGGAAATGCTTTTCTGTATAGTCCGTACTTTAATGAAAAAGGATTGTTAGTGATATGAAGGTATAGAGACTAAAAGGGCAGTACTTTTATTTATGCTTTTAAGAGCTATAAAGGGCTCCATATGTTTTATTTTGGGAGATTTTTGGATGAGGAGGATATCATCTCTTTCCAGAGTTTCAGCCTATAGAGAGGGTAAGATAAGGTTGGTGGTAATTCAGTAACTTAATGAGAAGAAACTTGGCAGAGAAAAGTAGCATTTAGGAGTAATGCCATCTTTATCCTGTGCCCAGTGCTACCTTATTTAACCTTCATTTAAAAAATACTTTGTTTTCCTCACTAGGCACAATACTTTCACTGGGCGATGGCTGACCAGGTTCCAAGCCATGTGGGATCCTAAACAAGAAGACTGCATCATAGTTGGCAGCATGGCCCGTCCACGACGGATAGAAATCTTCCATGAGACAGGAAAGAGGGTGCATTCTTTTGGTGGAGAATGCCTTGTCTCTGTGTGTTCCATCAATGCCATGCACCCAACTCGGTATATTTTGGCTGGAGGTAATTCCAGTGGGAAGATACATGCTTTTATGAATTAAAAAAGCTGCCGAGTTTTTGGTTTAAGAACATCAGTTTGTTCAAATTGACCACTGTCTAAGGAACCTAGTAATTGGCATAGCTTAGTGTGTTTACTTGGTAATGTGTTAGATTTAGGAAATATAAAATTGTTTTATTAATAAAACTATAAGAAGTGTTTACTTTTAGTAAGGGAGAAGTCTTGGAGGTTACTTCTGTAGGATGGGGAGGGAATGTGAGGGGAGGCTGAAGTGCCTTCAGCACTTTTTTTTTTTTTTTTTGTTTGAGATGGAGTTTTGCTCTTGTTGCCCAGTCTGGAGTGCAATGGCACAGTCTTGGCTCACTGCAACCTTCGTCTCCTGGGTTCAAGTGATTCTCTTGCCTCAGCCTACCGAGTAGCTGGGATTATAGGCACCCGCCACCATACCTGGCTAATTTTTGTATTTTTAGTGGAGACAGGGTTTCACCATGTTGGCCAGGCTGGTCTAGAACTCCTGACCTCAGGTGAGCCACCCATCTTGGCCTCCCAAACTACTGGGATTACACACCTAGAGCCATCAGCACTTTTAATCAAGACAGTATGTTGAGAAATAATAACATTATAAATTATAAAGCTCTGACTATTATTAAAAGTTTTTATGAGTTAATGATATGGTTTTGATTCTGTAGTGATACATGGATTGGTGATCTTTTTTATAGTTTGGAATGAATACTTATTTCTAGACTCACACTGGAAGGGGGCCTGGAAAGGTAATCTAACTCAGTGATTTTGAAACTTGATTTTTTTTTAACTGAGAACTTTTTTTTGCCACCCTCCCTGTAGGTTAAATCTTATGTGAAATGCTTTGGTTTACCCAGGGCGGGGTCTGGGTCTCTCTGTGCTTTCCTTTCCCCTTCCTCTAGATGGCTCCTGAGACACAGCCAGGACTCCCAGGCACAGGGTGTGGATCTGCCCTGGTCCCTGCATTCCAGTGTAGAATTGCCTCAGACCTGTGTTTTTCAGACTGTGGGTTTTTGCTCTTCACATGAAATCAGTTAAATGACAATGACTGGTGTTGAAAAAAATGAAAAGGAAATAATTTGTAAAGAACAGAAAACATATTTGAGTAAGTATTGTTTTGTAAAACTTATATATGCATATATATTTGTAGGTATATATGTTTATGTATATTCTGATGTAAAAAAAATATATTTTTAATTACTGTAGTACCATGGGTAATGGTTCAAGAAGCGAAAGCTACTGCTTAGAATGTCCCAGTCTTACTTGTCCCCATCTTTAAACTCTCCAAAGGATATTCAATAGTGTTAAGTGAATACCTTCATTCTTATTCATATTTGGGTATAGTTTTGGTATTTCTTTCATCAAAATATTTTCTTTTCAGAAGTGATGGTAATTTCAATGTGTTGTTGGGAGGGGAGCTGCCAGATCAGTTACTTATATTACTGTGTGACATCTATCCAACTTTTTTGGTACTTTTTAATTTCTAGATACTACTGAAAGACTTGTAAATGGCTTTGGCAATATGTTTGACTTCTAAGAGGAAATATTTTCTCATAGTTGTATATCAGAGAAATACAGTGATATATAATCTCTTTGAAAAACAATTTCTAAATAATTTTCTTCTCTGTAGTTAAAATCTATGTGTAAAAAGGTTTAGTTTCTTAATAGGTTTAGGTGTTTATAAGTAACAGTTCTCAACTTTCTAGTTGATGTAAGTAGGGGAATTGACAAGTGAGATGGAAATGTTAATTTATAAAGGGAAAGTAAAGCTAGGTGAGGTTGAATTATAATTATACTGTTCAGGAAACACTGTAAAGGCTTTAGGCTACCTTTCTCATTTCTATGCCAGTTAATTTCCTGGGTTCTAGAATGGTTATTCTATGGGAATTGTGTTTTTTAATTTTTTCTTTTTAAGATGATGAAAACTACTCTCAAATTAGTACCATTATTTAAGCTTTGAATACCTGGCGGTAATTGCCTGGACTCTTCAATAAACATTAGCAAATTCTTGATGTTTCTCACTTTTGTGGTTTCTTTTGAGATTGTAGTTTCATAAACAGTGCTATTTACATTGTTTCACTTTATAGAGTTATCTTGAGGCAATGCAGGAAGGAAGGGGAATGAGTAGGGACTTGTTTTTTTTTTTTTTTTTTTTTTTTTGGTTATCAGCTTTTAATGGAGTAATTGTTTAAATCTAGACAGCACATAAAATTGTTTCCCTTGGGACATCCTTACAGTGTAATCTGTAGTGCAAGGCACTTTTCCCAGAGACTTGCTTACAGCTGTGGCTTCTGTAATTGCGTGTGTATTATGATTGCTCCCTTCAGGATAAAGGTTTTCTGTAAGTTTGGCTTTTATGTTATCTCTTAAGCCCTGAATTCCACTTGATGGAATGTAAGCTCTGAATTTCACTTGAGTTATTTATTATTATTTTTAAGATATTCAGCCATTCGTTATGTGACTTTTTTTTTCTCTTCCTTCCCCTTTCCTTATGTAACTTTTAAGGAAGAAGCAGACAATTGTTGTTTTGGTGGTCAGAGACTTGGTCAGACTAGGAGAGACCACAAATGATTAGGAATTAGAAGAATTTGAGTTGCTTAAGTCCTATTTTTAGTATTCTGGTCTTTGAGTTTTCCTTTTCACCAAGAAGATTTTGCAAAGGGAGTTCTCCAGGAAAGCAGGGAGCATTAGGGCTGTGGATACAAGGATTTAAATCCTTTCAGCCAATGTACAGTACATGGGGTAGAGTAGGGCAGAAGACATACATGCCTTCTGTATTGTATTGAGAAGAGGAAATATATGCCCCCTAACTTGAGATTCCAAAAACTTTGATGTCCTGTTGGGTTGTCCTTTCTGACTTAGTACATTTCCCCCTGCTTTTTAGTAGGATATTGATAGCTAGAAATATCAAGACAGCATAGATTGTATTTTGACTCATTTGGCTATAAATATTTGGACTTTCAAATGAAAAGGTAGAATTTATGAGGAAGATAACATTAAGTATAATTTTACAGAGCTTAAGGACAACACATTTTATGATACATTTTCCCCATAATGGAAGCTGGGCAAGAGAGAATTGATTAAAAGTGTGCTTAGCTGGTTTTACTCTACTCCATCAGCAGGTTGTAGGGGTCTGAAGAGGAAGCCTGTTCACAAGCTAAAACCAAAAGTGTGTTCAGGTGCAGAGGAGCTAGATTGTGCTGGAGGAACCCAAAGCAGAGGGAAGTAGGGACTAGAGTCCTATCAGAATGTGCACAGGCAGTCCTTGATAAGCTTTCAGCAGAAGGGAGGCTGCTGTGAATTGGCAGGGCCATGGGAAGTCACCCAAGTCCAGTGTTCCTTGTGCTTTTTACTCTTTGGATCACTTCAAGCAAAAACTTATGTCATAAAAACATAAAAAAATTCCACTGGGGATAGGGTGCTGGATAGCATTTTATAGGTAATGGATACCTCTGAAACTTGGAGGTGAGTAACGTAACCTGATTGGTGTTTAGGAAGATGATCTGGCAACAGAAATGGGAGAGTGGAGGGCAAGCAGAATTGAGAAGACAAAGATTATGTAAAAAGCTAGCACAATGGATGAAGCCCCCAGTGTCACCTCTTACTTAACCTCATGGAATTTAGAAGACCATTTCCAATTCTGTAGCCACAGAATCATGGTTACATAATCAGATGAATTTATACTATTGGGACATATTTTGTAAATATGCGGCTTGTTACTGTAGTGGTACCATTCTAGTTCCTTCTTAGTATTTTCTGTGCTCCGACTTACTCCAGGCTTGAGTAAGAACACTGGACCAGAAGCTGGACCGTCTGGGTTCTAGTTGGCTCTACCACTATTTAATCTTGGGAAAATCACTAGCCTTCTTGGTTTTCCTCATCAGAAAAATGGTGTCCAATTCACTTTAAAATTATTACCACATTTATAGCTTCTCAGTTTCTTACTGTATTTATTTGAGGGTAGGGACAAGTATAATAGGTGAATACTAGCAAAATGATTATTTTTATATGGTCCAAGTGAATAGCAGTCAGCTGTGTAAATCCCACTGGTAGCCTTTTATCTGTGTTGGTAACTTTAAGGGGGGAAAGTAAGACAGGCTATGAGTTAAAGAAAGAGCCCACTCTTTGATGATATTTAAATATTTATTTAAGTTTAAAAATAATCTTCATGGCACCAATGATTTTATGCTAACTACATACTGCATATGTAGAAAAAGGTACATTGCTTTGAAGGAAAATGTAACTTAAGAGTTTTTGGCACACAGAAGGTTAACAACTATATTTTTAAATGAAACTAAGAAATTCACATTTGCAGGTAGTTTACCCTCTACTGCTTAAAGATGCAGTACACTACTCTTTAGTAAGAGTTTTATTTCCTGTGATAGATGAAGCTATGGAAACCACTGATTTTTCTAAAATGAGGTAAAATAATTTTGAGAAAAAATGAGACATGTTAGAACACAGTATAACCAGGTTAAAAACTTGAACAGTTTTTAATGGTGTAGATATACCAAAAAAGACTAGTCATCAACAAAGGAGGTTTATTATTCAAGCACTATTTGAAAAGCAAACTGAAGGAAACTTTTCTATCCATATTTTCTGGGATGAGCCCTAGAAAAAAAAATAACCCTAAAGGTTCCTGTTCAGAGAGCAAAATTTAGCTGTTAGAAATGGCATAGACTACTATTAGAATGCTAGACACAAGGAACATACTAGGATATGGAATACTGCCTCTGTCTCTAATGTGAATGTGAAAGGTCAGAGTTGAGGCTATCACTCACTGCATAGAAACACCAGATTCTACAAACTGAGGTAGGAGCACTACACTAAAAGGTCATCTGCTATGTTGCATAAGACAGTAGATATCCAGATTAACACCAACCCCCTGTCTCCTGACAGCCTTTTCATCTCTGGGTCTACTTCTCGCATTAGTCCTGTGCTAAATAAAGCCTTTGCTATGTAGATGACAAGTAGCAGTGGCTACTTGGTTTTAACTAACCCCTAATCTTTACTAGGATTTCCTTCGGTTTGTATTGTCACTCGATAAATAGATGTTTATAATTCTGCCCAAATTGTTGCTGGTATGGAAATGGTCAGAGAGGCCCTCTTCTTTTCTTAGATTTCACCCATGTTTTAGCATTCCAGTATTTGATCTTGCCTATTTGGCATCAGACATCTCTTTGCTGGTTGGTTGGTCGAGCACCCATTAAACAAGCAACCCTGGTGCCTCCACTGGGAAGTATTCCCAGATGTTTGACACATGTTAGTCATGGAAACAGAGCTGACTGACCCTCTTCTGCTAACATACTAGTAAGGATCAGTTTCATTGTCTAGATCAGAATTGGCATATTATGGCCTTTAGGCCAAATTCAGCTGTTTTCATACAGTTTTATTGGAACACAGCTATGTTCCTCCATTTATATATTATCTATGGCTGTTTTTGTGCTGTGGTGGCAGAGTTGAGTAGTTGTGACAGTATGGTGTGCAAAACCAAAATATTTACTGTGTAGCACTTTACAGAAATTTGTTGACCTCTGGTCTAGATGAAAGGATATCTTTAAAATTATACAAATCTCTCCCTAAGAACCCCAATTATTCCACAGTTGTATTCTAAACATGGACATGGTTCTACTGTCTCGGGACAAAATAGGGGAGGTCAAATCACAAGTGACTCATTCTGTTCTGTATTTGGGGCTGTCCAACATTATAGGGTATCAGCAGCTGCTCTACTTTTGTGTGGGTCCAGGAATATGTCCATTGACCATCCTTAAATAAGCCCACAAGCCCCAGATGACTTAGAATTCTCTCCCTGAGATGAAAACAGGATCTTGTGTGTGACTGGTTTTAGAGTTGAAGAGCTCGGGTCTAGGACCCCCACACTCACCCTTCCTGTGCCTGTGCTTCTGCGGTCCAGGGCTTCCCTCCGCAAGGATGGCAATGCTTTCCTAGAAATTATGCAGAGGATGACCCTAGGGGGCAGCACTTCTACATCTAAGTGTTGGTCTCTGCCACAGTCACCTTCTGTGTTTTGTAGGCATCTCTTAGAAATCCTATTTTTAAAGTTGCTTCTCCTGGTCCCTTCTAAGGCTGTTGATCTTGGAATTCTATTTTCTGAAGCTTTTCATTCTCAGGATCAGTTTCTTTCTTGCATCATTTAGTTCATCAGGCTCTATTTTCTTAATCCATAAAGTAAAAACAAAATATGAATTGTTAAGAAAATAACATTTCGTTGTTAAAATATAAATTGAAATAGTCTTTGGTGGGGGGGGCGGGGTATATAAAGTCAGGTAACTTAGCTCTACTTTAACTACATTTTGTCCAACATTTCTGACAGAACTCTCTGGCACTACTGAATTCATTTGATGCCCTGGAGCACTGTAAAAGTCTTCAGAAAGAGGTTCTTTAGAAAAAAAAATCACATTAAGTCTAGTTTAATTATACAAAACTATAGCGATGCCCACTAGGCTCTAGACTAAGGGGACAGACTTACCCCACCCCTGCTGCTGCTGCTGTAGCGGTGGTCCCTTCAGATGCCCACTCTGCTCAGATTTAAAAAAACAAAAGGAAAAGAAAATCCAACTCAGACCATCATAGGAAGCAACTTTCCATTTAATCATTCTACATGGATGTTTACTTTTTAAAAAATTCTGTCTGGCAAAAAAACTAAACAGTCCCCATTGTCCAGATCCCTGGCCTGCCCCTTGGAGGCTGCAGTCACGAGTGCTGGAACCCAGTGGCAGCAGCAGGAAACCTCCTGCAGAATACAGAGGACAGCAGCTCTCTAGTCTTCAACTAGTGTCCCTTCTGCTAGGTGACACTACTGCAGTAATCAGTAATAGTAAAATAAATTATTTTTATTTGATACTTCAAAATAATACACCTCTATGAAAAATCAAAATTCAAAACCAAAAATTATCCTGCAAATTGGAAAGATGAGAAATAGAGTCGCTGAGCCTTTCTTGAAAGAACTTCGAAGAAAATGAGTTTTCCCAGTTTGTTTAGACAGGGCATGAGCCTATCCCTTTCTTCTTCTGGGAAACACCCTCCTAGGCTGCAGTGGACTTTGAGTCATGAGAGGAGGACTTGGTATATGTGCCGATGGTTCCGCGATGGGTCCCATTGCTGGGAGTGGGTAGCCGGGCTCCTTGGTCCACCTGGCTAGTTTTTGGGGAGGAGTCATGCCTTCTCAGGTGTCAATGAGCAGGCTCACCACTGAGCGGATTTTGCAGGCAAACCATCGCCTGAGGGGACAAAAGTATTGATAGTGGAATTGTTCAAACTCGGGAGTCTGGCGGATATCGCGGAAAAAGGCAATGTCAAGGTCAGACTCGGTAAGGATGATCAGGAGGAGGAGCAAAACAAAGAGGAGTCCCATGGTCACAAGGAGCAAACGGAGGACACTTAGAACAAACTTATTCACCTGTTCCTCCTCGGGCCCGCCGTGTCCCTGACACAGGGCCCTCAACTCTCCTCCAAGGGCCTCCACCTCTGTAGCAGTAGGGGTGCTGGCTTCAGATTCCTTCTCCTCCTCGATGCTGCAGGTGGCTCCATTGATCTGCCGGGACAGCAACATCAGCTCCAGGCTGTGTTCAGCCACAGGGGTGGGCAGCACACTGTCTGCAGGGCTGTAGGCCTCGTCTGCAATCACAGCTACTCGCTCATTGCTGTCTGTCCGGCTGCTTCTCACATGAGGCAGGAAGGTGTCCCCATGGGAAGAAGAACGCACTGGCGTGGAATGAGCACTGTCCCGTAGGGATTCTAGGCCTAGAAAGGCAAAAGGAACATGAGTATGCTGTCCCAGTGCACCCTTTGCTTTCAGTGGCACCCATTGTGTTTTGCTGGGTGCCACTATGCACACCCACATGACCAGCAGCAGTAGCCACTGCACTCTGTTTTGACATATCAAGAAGACTACAGGCTGAACATGGCTTACGCCTGTAATCTCAACACTTTGGGAGGCAGAGGTGGGCAAATCACTTGAGGTCAGGAGTTCCAGACCAGCCTGGCCAATGTGGTGAAACCTCTTCTCAACTAAAAATTAAAAAATTAACTGGGCGTGGTGGCATGTGCCGGTAATCCCAGCTACTCAGGGGGCTGAGGCAGGAGAATTGCTTGAACCCAGGAGGCAGAGGTTACAGCGAGCTGAGATTGTGCCACTACACTCCATCCTCGGCAACAGAGTGAGAAAGAGTCCACCTTAAACAACAACCGAAAAAAAAAAAAAAAAAAAAAAGGCCGGGCGCGGTGGCGCAAGCCTGTAATCCCAGCACTTTGGGAGGCCGAGGCGGGTGGATCATGAGGTCAAGAGATCGAGACCATCCTGGTCAACACGGTGAAACCCCGTCTCTACTAAAAATACAAAAAAAAATTATCTGGGCATGGTGGCATGTGCCTGTAATCCCAGCTACTCAGGAGGCTGAGGCAGGAGAATTGCCTGAACCCAGGAGGCGGAGGTGGCGGTGAGCCGAGATCGCACCATTGCACTCCAGCCTGGGTAACGAGCGAAACTCCGTCCCAAAAAATAAAAATTAAAAAAAAAAAAAAAGACAATACCTGGGCAACATAGCAAGACCTGAACTCTATTAAGAAAAAAAAAAAACAACCAAGTGTGATGGCACATGCCTGTAGTGCCACTTTGGAAGTGGGCAGATTGCTTGAGCCTGGGAGGTGAACCAAGATCACACCACTGCATTCCAGTCTGGGCAACAGAGCAAGACCCTGTCTCAAAGATACATATATAAAAGAAGAGGAGAAGCCACAGGAATCACAGTGGCTATTTAAGAAGAGTTTTTCTTTGCTTTTTGCATATGATTTTGGCCTGATTTGTGTGTTTTTTGAGACAGAGTCTTACTCTCACTGAGGCTGGAATGCAGTGGTATATTCTTGGCTCACTACAACCTCTGCCTCCCACATTCAGGTGACTGTCATGCCTCAGCCTTCTGAGTAGCTGGGATTGCAGGTGTCTGCCAGCACACCTGGCTAATTTTTGTGTTTTTAGTGGAGACGGATTTTGCCATTTTGGCCAGGCTGGTCTAGAACTCCTGGCCTCCCAAAATGCTGGGATTACAGGCGTGAGCCCCTACACCCAGCCCCTAATTTGTTAAAGTTTCTGCCTTCCCTGCCTTTGGTGTCCTGGCGCTGGTTTTTATCCCAATTTGAAAGAGAATCTGAATTCCAAACTACCTGTGATGCACAGCTGGGACCATGGTTTGAGTCTCAAGTATGCCTGATGGGTGGAGGGGTTTGAGAGGCAGGAACAAGCCCGACACTGTAGCTCACATCTGTAAACCCATCACTTTGGGAGGCCAAGGTGAGTGGATTACTTGAGCCAAAGTGTTCAAGACCAGGCTGGGCAACATAGTGAGACACTGTCTCTACATATGAAATAAATGTTTAATAAAAGAGAGGTAGGAATGGGGAGAAGGAGAATATGTCTTACCTAATTGGGTTTCATCAAATTCTGAGTATCCTTATAAAAACCCAGCATACGGCATCTTGAGCTCATAAGGCCAATATGTTTGGATTTCTGCAGCTGCTCTGTTTCTTCAGCCTCTGTTCTAGCTGTTCTGACCTTATGGAATGGTCGTGTAGAAATTCTGCTCTTTCTGAGGGGGCATGGGAGTAGTCCCTGGCCAGCTCCTTCTCTTTTCCCTCGAGAAGGAGCTGGGTCTAGAATAGGCTAAAAGCTCCCATATCTTTAGACACGTCAGAGCACAAAACAGCATCTGAGATCTTGTTGGGTCGGTGGTGGTGGGGAGGGTGGATTTCTCTTACATTTGGTAGGATAAAGGGGTATTCTAGCCCCTAAAATTACCCATTATCATTTCCACTTTCTCTCTTTCCAAGGTTCTCAGGGCTCAAACCCTGGCAGGGAAAACAGGAGCTGGTTATATGCTCAACAGCAACCACCCAGGCCAGAGGCTTTGGGCATATAGTGAGCGAGTATGGCCTACATCACAGTGCTCCCAAGAAAATGGCTTCTTGTTTTAGGCTTGACGTCTACATTTTCCACTCCTGGACATATTAGTGGTGCTGGTGTGGTTCTCTCTGCCTCTGTGACCTATGACAAGAAACCCTAGTCCCCTTCTGTTGCTCTGAAATAGTCCCTGACAATGCCAGACTGAGTCAGACTTCCCAGCTCAGTAAAGGAAGTCAGGGCTAGCTCCAGAACCCCAAAGATGTTTCTCTCTTTTTCTCCCTTCTCCCAGGACATGAAGCAGCCCAGAGGTCTCTATTAAAAAGGTGTTAAGTAACCTTTCAGAAGCAGTGTGTTCCATCTTCCTTGGCTCCTTCTTGGCTTGGCCATTTGCACCTAGGCAGCCTGCCTGACCAGCCTGGTGGAGCTCATCTTGGCAAAGGCACAGTTAAGGATTCTCCAGAGGAATAAGTCCTGGAATCTGGGTTATGAGTGAGTAGGACAAGGGAGGGAGGGGGTGGGGCAAAGGCAGGGCACCTGCCATTCACCTCACCTCAGGGCTTGTACCTTTGCCGCAGCTCTCAATCTCTGCTTTCAGAAGCTCCTCATGGTCCTAGCTGTATTTTTTGTCCCTGTGCTAAAATCTTAAATTTACATAATGCTTTCAACTTTTTTTTTTTTTGGTCTTTTATTTGGGTCATTTATTTTCCTTCCAGTCCTGGGTTCAGTACATAGATGGCTTCTCTTCACCCTTTGGGTTGATAATTTTCTCCAGGTTGCTGCTTATGATATGATAAAGCTCAGCATAGAAGGCCCTCAGGTTCAGCACCATGGCCCTGAGCTCCCCACAGGCTGCCTCATCTTGCTCGTGCACCAAGGGCCAGTAATCCATCACATGAGTCTCCTTGGAGGCCTTGGCCACAGCATCCCCACGTTCTGAGAAGTACTTGGAAATGGTTGTCTGGAAAGCTTCCACTTTGGTCTTGACAGCATTCACCCTCTCGAGTACCTTCTCCTGGATTGCTACCCCAAAATCATTTCCATCTTCAATCTTGGGGATCAGGTGCTGGATCCATGTGATACCAGAATGCATTTCTCCTTGAGAGTCCAGACTTCTGGCTTAACCAGGGCAAGCAGGGACAGGACCTTCTCATTCCCAGGGAGAAATCCACACTTAGGGACTTCTTTCTTCTCCTGCTTATCTGTTTCCATCTCATGATCCTTGTGTGGAGGATCTGGGATGGGGATGTCCAGTGTGGCCCGGAGGGAAGTCAGGTCAGCCACACTGAGGGAGTCCTCTTGCAAGAGCTGATTCAGGTATATGATTTTCTGTGGCAAGAATCTGTAGAGGAATTCCTCAGCCTCCTGGAAAAGATTCTGCCTGAAGACCTCCACCTGTTTGCGGGCCTCCCCGCTCAGGCGCACCCCACACGGCTTGGCCATGCTGCTTCAAGTCGCTAGATCTCTGGTCTCCGCTTTCAACTTTTTAAAGCACTTTCATCTTTCAGTAACTCCACGAAGTAGTGAAGGCAAGAGGTTACCCAGTGTGCCTGAAGTCATGTGGTTCGTGGTTAATGGCAAAACCAAGGATAGAATCCAAGCCGCTTTCTAGTTCATGATCCTGCTGCTCATATCCATTAAGTCCTCACTTTGTCAACAGGTTCTTGGAAACCATGACTTTAAGCCAAGTGACGTTACAGCAGGTCCTCTAATGTTTTCTTCAGCATCATTTTTTGTTACAAGTTTTAAAAGTTTTTTATTGAGACGGTTTTACTCCATTGTCTAGACTGGAGTGCAAGTGGTGGAATCACGGCTCACTGTTGTCTTGACCTCCCAGGTTCAGGTTATCTTCCCACCTCAGCCTCCTGAGTAGCTGGGACTACAGGCATGTACCACCACGCCTGGCTTTTTTTTGTTGTTGTTGTTTGAGACAGAGTCTTGCTCTGTCACCCTGGCTGGAGTGCAATGGCGCAATCTCGGCTCACTGCAACCTCTGCCTCCCGGGTTCAAGCAATTCTGCTTCAGCCTCTTTAGTAGCTGGGATTACAAGCACCCACCACAACGTCTGGCTACTTTTTGTATTTTTAGTAGTGATGGGGTTTCACCATGTTAGCCAGGCTGGTCTTGAACTCCTGATCTTGTGATCTGCCCACCTCAGCCTCCCAAAGTGTTGGGATTACAGGCATGAGCCACTGCACGCAGCCCCATTTTGTTACAATGTTGATGAGGAAAAAAAAAAATTTCATTGTACATCATTTTGCTTAAAGTTGCAGTTTCTAAGACCCTATGATGATAAGTGTCAACTGTAGTTGGATTCCATGGAATGGAACCATGGGCCAGGATGGATTAAATCAATAGCCAGCATCTACCTTAGATTTAGGTCTTAATTGCCCAAGAAACTGTTCTGAAATAATATGAAATTAAGAGCCTCTGTCCCTTGTTGTAGAACTCTTGCTGTCCTTTGACCTCCCTCTTACCCAGTATTCCTCCCTGATGTCCCCATTTGCACATGCAGCTTGAGGAATATGTACCTTGGAGCATGTTACATGTCACTGATGAAGCAGAAACCTTAAGGTCTTGGTTGCAGCATATTGCTGGCTTGTCTCCTCTGCCTGCCTTTATTGGAACCTCAGCCCCATTGCACAGGGCACCTGCCACCTTTCGAAGGCCTACCCCTTCAGAAGGACAGCTCTGACTGCAAGATCTTCCAAAATATGAAAAGCTGAGCTGCCAGCAGCTCCTTGAATGCAAGTTTAGCTTAGCCTACGATTATGCCCTCAGCTTGTGGGGAACGAGAGAGGCGAAGAAAACAAGTCAGAGGACTACGCGGAGCCACATCATACTGGGAGCTGTTGGTGCTCTCAGTAACAAGATAATGGATAGATAGGCAGGATTTTTTTTTTTTTTTTTTTAAAGATGGAATTTGCCTCCATTGCCCAGGCTGGAGTACAGTGGCACAATCTTGGCCCACTGCTGCCTCCACCTCCCGGGTTCAAGAAATTCTCCCACCTCAGCCCCCTGAGTAGCTGGGAGTACAGGCGCCTGCCACCAAGCCTGGCTAATTTTTATATTTTTAGTAGAGATGGGGTTTTGCCATGTTGGCCCAGCTGGTCTCGAACTCCTGACCTCAATTGATCCTCCTGCCTCAGCCTCCCAAAGTGCTGGATTATAGGCGTGAGCCACCACACCCAGCCAATTAGATAAGCATTTCTAGTAGAATGTCTGAGAAATAAAGTTGTTGAGTATCAGTCTGTCAACAAAAGACCTCAACAGAAGACCTCACCTGTAAGGTGACCTTTCCACTTCAGGTTAGTCCAATATAAGAAACTGTTTTCACTACTATAAAAGCCACCACCTGTCCTGCCACTTCATTGAAACTATTGTTCTGGGATAGATAGGGTGGTGCCATGGGAAGGATCTCAGCTAAGCGGCACAGCAAAACAGGAGAGTCTTTTTTACCTTGGAAGTGTTCCAGCTGATTCCCTTGCCCGAGGGTGGCTCCCAGTGGGCTGGGGGGCACAGCAGTCAGGACCCTACCCTGGAGCCGGGGCCCCATCCTCAGGATGCGCACACTTAGGGGCCGAAAGCAGTGATTAGTCAGTCGGAGCTGGACGCAGACTCTGGTGTGAATCTTAATCAGACTCTTCCCCATGGCGGCCCAGGAAGGCAAATACTTCTTCAGTGGAAACCAGCTGATCTCTTCAGAGAAACCAGCCAGGCAGGGAAAGATACAGAGAGGGAAGGACGGAAAGCCAACTAGGAACGAAGGATTTCCACAGATCCTACACAATAGCAGCCCCTTAGCAGTGCCTCCTGTGCTGTAGAGAGAAGGTCACCTCCCCAAGCCTCAGATCAGGCTGAACTGCAGGGAAGGAGCAGCTCTGAGAGGCCAACGTTATCAGGGGACTGGATTTAGTCAGAAGCACTTAGAGCCATAAAAAGTAATGCTTCTGTAGCCTGCAGCTCTTCCCGAGGCCCAGATAAGGGCTCCAGCCTCTCAGAGGGCGAGGGACAGAGTGGGCAGAGAACAATCTCATAGGGCAAAGGTAATCAAGATTGTCCCAGAAAATCCAGGATGTAAAGTTACAACGCCAATGGGCTTTATCCAGGTCATATTTAGTCCAGGCCTGCCCTGCTGCCAGCCACGTCGCATGGTCAGTGCTAACTTTGGGCTGGGTGGCTCTGAAGGGTGAGGAGGTGGGCTCTGTGATATGAATGGGCCAAATGGACTACAGAATAAAGACAGTCTTTGGTGGGGTGTAAACCAATTTCAAATGCCCATAAGTTTCTTGGGGTTTTTGTTGGTTGTGCCCTTCTTCTGAGGCCCTCACTGCATCCCTCACAGCCCCTCCCTCCCTGGTTGAGGTGGGCAGTTAGGGTCAGCTGTGCTTGTCAAGACCTTTAAAGGCAAGTCCTCCTCTTGAAAGATGGTGCACCTGAACTCTTGCTTCCTGGAAACTAATCCATTCTTTACTTCCACAGGCTTGGTAGCCCCTGTACTGATAAAAGACTGTTGCAATTAAATGGCTTTATTTCCACATCTAAACCCAATGTCCATCTCCCTCTCCGTACCCTGAGCCTGTGAGATTCATTCAGGCCAGGTCAGTTCTACCTGCCCCCTTCTGCATCTAATGGGTCCTGGGCTGGGGGCCCTGACTGGGGCCATGGACTGTGCTTGACCACTGGCAGCCTTGGGTACGGGGTGTGAGAAGTACCTGGAAGACTGCGGAGCTATAACCTACCAAATGTGCCATTCTGTGAGGCTGGTTTTGAGGAAGTGCATGGCCCTAGGGGGCCTATACTCAGCAGCCTCTCCCCATTGTACCTCTCCTTGCATTTGGCAGCAAGGGGGGACAGTTTGGACAAGGAATCTGCTGCTGCAATGGGAGAAGAGAGGCTCTGGGAGGAGGAGGCTGGAGGTAAAGCCAGAGCTGAATGGGGAACTGAGGCAGCCCCAGCATGTCTTGGGATCACAAGGACTATTTCCGCCGCCTCAGTTCTAGTTGGCAGCAACTCTCAATGAGTTTTGTCCCCACATAGCTTCAGCCCTCCCTCTTTTGGGAATGCTGGTTTCCTGAACATTCTTCCTTGTTCTGGGAAGTAGCAATGCACAAGCCTTCTCTCCTGTTTTATATCCTGCATGGTGCTGGCTTCCCTACGGTGAGTCGTTTGTTGGGGAGGACAGCTGTCCCAGCTCTGTGGAAGACTTGGGATGGACCGTCTAGCTTCAGCCTCAGGAGGGATGGGAAGGAAAAGCCACAGAGAGGGGAGAAAGTTGCTTCCTCAGAGAAGGAGAATTTCATTCTACTTCCTGAGATGTACACCCCCAAAGAAGAGGGACAGTGAGAGCCAAGCTCAGTTATCTGGCTCAGCCTAAGATGGGAGGAAACACCAGGAGGCTGTCTGATGATGGTCATATATCCATAATTCCACTCTTTGCATAATGACTCTACTTGGTCGTCCAAAGGCACTCTCCCACACCGAGCTCTGTTCTGCAGTGGGGGCACTGGGCTCAGAGAGATTAAACAACCTGCTCCAGAAAGTGCATGTCAGAGCTCCTAGTCAGACCTTACTTTAGGCATCCTGACCAGGACTCTGCACTGTGCTTACTGCCTGCCCATAAATGCTTTAGTCTCTTTAAAATACTTCTGCACATATTAGCTTCCTTGCAACCAATGAGGTGGGCAAGGAAGATGTTCCTATTTTACAAATGGAGCAATGAAGATACTCAAGTAACTTGATGGTGTTTGTCCAGCCAGGGTTCTCAACCTCTATACCATTGGGAGTTATATTCCAGACTCTGGTAACAAGGAATCTCACATTCACAGTGACACATCCTAAAATCCTAAACACAAATTAGATCTTCCCAGGGAAACAGCAGAGTGATACCCTTCCTAACCTGACCAATTCATTTTCATTCCCAAGCAGGATTCTTACAAAAAAGGCAAAGGCTGTTCCTCCCCAGGTTGCACGCTGTTAATCCCAGGAGAGAGACAGGTATGAACCAATTCTGCTGCTGTCTCCTACTGTATGAGATCTGAGGTCCTAAAAAAAACACCGTCTCTGGGAATGAAAGCACTCAACTTCACATCTGTATCCAGCCTGTGGGTGACCTGGACCAGTGACAACAGCTAGAGGGCAGTATTCCAAGAGCACCTCCTAACAGCATTAACTACCCAGAAAACAGATTACTGGCCTCAGCTACTGGAGTATCTAGTGCAGTGGAGATACATAGACTTTTTCCCTCTTGCCACCTCGGCCTCCTCCAAAGGAAGGGAAGTGTGGAGGGAGCTGGATCATATTAGATTTCCTGAGACGGTGGTAAGAAATTGAGATAGCAACAGGACAAATTTCATTTTTTTCAGACAGCCTTACTCCATGGCCCAGGCTGCAGTGCAGTGGCGCGATCTTGGCTCACTGCAACCTCTGCCTCCCAGGTTCAAGCGATTCTCCTACCTCAGCCTTCCAAGTAAGCTGGGATTATAGTCATGCGCCACCACGCCTGGCTAATTTTTTTAGTTTTAGTAGAGACAGGGTTTCACCATTTTGGCCAGGCTGGTCTTGAACACTTGACCTCATGATCCACCCATCTAGGCCTCCTAAAGTGCTGAGATTACAGGCATAAGCCACTGTGCCGGGCATGAAAAGCCTCTTGATGGAAAGCAATTTCAGAACTGCATGGAACCTGTAGATCCCACATGTGCAAGTCCCACAAAGTACTAACCCAGCACCTCAAATCTACAACCCCCTACCTAGATACCCATACCACCCTGTACCCAGCTAGTATTCCCATTCACTGGATAAAACCTGCCACTGGAGGCTCTTTTCCCCAAGAAATGTGCTGCTGTCACTAACGCAAATTAGCCTCATTTTGAGGTCCCAGATCACAACTTGGAGGACCCCAGTGGTCACCTAAAGAAGCTCATGCTCACCTTCCATGATGGAGATGTGAACAGCTCTTCTGCGGGTCCTGGGGACGCTGCTCAGCCTTGGGCCATGGGTTATGGAGGGACAGCTCCGGCTGGGAACCATCCCTGCTCTGTGGTTAAATAAAAAGAACCTTATTAATTCAGTGCACAGACACATTTGGTAGGCACTTAAGAGTTAAGTACTGACTACTAGAATTGCCTGGTTGTATTAAGTTTTAGTCTCTCTCTCTCTTTTTTTTTTTTTTTAAGACAGAGTCTTGCTCTGTCACCAGGCTGGAGTGCAGTGGTGCGGTCTTGGCTCACTGTAACCTCTGCCTCCCGGGTTCAAGCGATTCTTCTGCCTCAGCCTCCCAAGCAGCTGGGACTACAGGCACACATCACCACTCTGGCTAATTTTTGTATTTTTAGTAGAGACTGGGTTTCACCATGTTGGCCAGGCTGGTTTTGAAGTCCTGACCTTGTGATCCACCCGTCTCGGTCTCCCAAAGTGCTGGGATTACAGGCGTGAGCCACTGCACCTGGCCTTTTCTCTCTTTTTAAAAATCTTTAATAACTTCTCTTTGCCTTTGGTCTCTGAATCCCAGTCAGAGACAGTGCTTCAAACTCCTCTACCTCCTTATAAGGCTAGACCCATCTGAACCTTTTAGTGTGGCAACAGTGCCACTGGTCTCGGGGTGGGGGCAAGACTGTCAGAGAGTAGAGCCCCAGTATGGGCAGTACTCCTGAAAACATGCCTGGACCAACACTGGCAGCCTCCCCTGACTTCCAACAGAGGCTGCTGATGACGGGGTGCCATGTGAAGGGGCAGGCAGTAATGCTCACATTCCTAGAGGCAAAGGCTGGTTGGCAAATCCTAGTCTTGGTCAGTCATCCTTTCTGGGTCTTGGACTCTAGGAGATAGGCTTCTGAAAACATATAATTTGTGGATCTACATGAAGCACAGATCCTGAAACTATTTTACATCCAGTGTGGCAGGGTTGTGCGACCATCCTTGGCTTCATGTAACGGACTGATTCCAGAACCACTGAAATGGTGTGACATATCTATGATCAATGTCAAGACTTGGGAGGGCAGAAGAGAACTGCTAAGTGAGGTAGCACTTGGATCTGATGTACTAGCTATAGTAGCCCATCCTCCCCCACTCTCTTATTAAGGGTCAAAGATTTCTCCCCATTCCTTCTGAGAAGTTTCTTCACCCATCTGCCCTATTCTGCCCCTTTTGGTAGCCACTGGGGCCAGGAGCTTCACAGTACTCAAATTGCTGAATGGAGATCCTGGGATCTGAGCTAGAACTGTTTTGGGGGGTGCCCCGGCAGCCCACCTGTGTATTTCCGGTGGCTCCCGTTTGATCTTAGCACTTGACTCCATGACTTCCTTTGCAACTCGGCCACTATAAGTAGTATAATAAAAAGCAGCAAGAAATGAGACTGTGTTCCAGGACAGCTCCTCTCCAAGATCTCAGGTGCTTTCGCTGAATCTGAAAATGGCCTCTGTGGCCCACCCATTCCCCGATGTTTTAATCATTAAGAAAGGCTTGCTTGCTGAGGTAGAGAGTTCTAAAGCATTGTGACAGCCTATCTGAGAGAGCTCTCTCCATGTCTAAGAGAGTCTTTATGATCTTCCATTCTCATTTAGGAATAACTCCTCATTTTCTGGCATGTTATGATTGCATCACAAAAAAACATGAAACAACCTTTAGATAGTGAGACATGAAAAGAATAATTGTTATAGTTCTGATTTTGCTGCTATTTAAGAGAAAGGGAAGATACACATTTATTTTTCATTTTCTTGGAGACAGGGTCTTGCTCCCAGGCTGGAGGACAGTGGTGTAATCATGGCTCACTGCAGCCTCGACCTCCTGAGCTCAAGCGATTCTCTCACCTCAGCCTCCCAAGTAGCTGGGACTACAGGTGCGCGCCACAATGCCCAGCTAATTTTTTATATTTTTTGTAGAGATGGGTTTCACCATGTTGCCCAGGCTGGTCTCGAACTCCTGGCCTCAGGTGATCCATCTGCCTCAGCCTACCAGAGTGCCAGGATTATAGGCGTAAGCCACTATGTTTGGCCGATATACATTAAAACCCTACAGACAAATAGCTGTAGGGAGGGAAGGAAATAGTAACAGGGTCATAAGACAGGAGAATTGAATGGAAACCTCAGACTTTTCTGAGTCTTCCCCAGTTTCTCTGTTCTTCAAGGATAAGGACCACTGAATGTTCTCCAGAGAAGGGTCTGAAAATAGATCCATAATGGTTACTTACTGTCACTATTTACCTGTATCGGAACCGGCTCCCTTTAAAGAATAAGTTGCTGCTGGACACTGTGCGGACTTGGCTTGACTTCTCCAGCCTGCAGCAAGACAAAGTCCAGTGTGACAGAGGGCCTGAACTATCTCAACCAGGCTAAGGCAGCACATCCCCAACTTTCAAAGTCTACTTGAAACTCTTCAGGAAAAATCCCTTTATACTCCACACTTGTCTCTGACTGTCATTTAGGATCTGGGGGCTGTGCTCACAGCCAGCTGCCCTCCTGCTTCAATGCCCAGGACTGTCACATGGAAACCCATTTTGGTGTCAGGAGAGTGAAGGCCCCCGCAAAATGCTTCATAGGTTTTACCAGGGGGACTGAGAGAATACTTGCTCAGGTCGATGGTCTGGGGGAATAACAGAATGCCACCCATCTGATCTCAGCCAGACCACTTATTAGCAGTGTGGTGTGACTTCGGGCACATTTCCTTCCCTCTTAGCTTTACCCTTCTAAAATGATGGAGCTGGGACTGCTGGATCTCAGGGGTCTCCTTTCCAGTCCCAGTATTTGATCTTGTGTCTGTCTGGGTGATTTGGGTAGAGAAGAGGGTGGGGGCTGCCCTTCCTGTTCCATCTCCCTCTTGGAGGGTCCTAAAATACATGACCATGGTAAAGACTGAGAAATCCTGCAATGAAAAAACTAGCTTAACTTTAATAAAAGTTCCATCATGTATTTGAATTCGGCGCCTTCCTCCCTCCCCCAGAATGTCTATTTAATATCTCTTTTGAGGCTGCGGACGGCTGATGTGGAGCTTTGTGATATGTTTTCCTGGGTGACTTCACTGAGCCCATTAGGTCTCTCAGCCTGGGCTGAGCTGCTCAGAGAGAAGTCTCCTAAGATGGGATACACCTGTAACATGACCGGGTGCCTATGGTACTGATCCAGCCAGGGACCCATGTGGGTCTGAAACCTGTGCTATGAGCAGTGAGTAGGAGCTGTCTCCACATCCATGAAGAGTTCCTGGGAGATACCATCCCTGCCTGTCTCAGGGTTCCAGGACATCCGGCTGCTTACCCCCCTTACCTGGGCATGTTCTTGCATCTGACTGGGCTCTTGCCAAGGCATCAGGCCAAAGGCAGGACTAGGGATCTGTGAGAGACACTGAGCAAGGCCAAAGCACTACTGCCAAAGACTTGGCATACCTGGGGATCTGACCCCGGCTAGAGGCTTTTACCACTTAGCAAGAACATTAGGGAGGGAGCGGAAAACTGAAAAATGACCTCAGTTTCCAGAGTGGGTTCAGGCAGGGCTCGGTGGGTATGGAGATCTACTCGTGGGAACACTCAGAAACCGAGTGTGGTCACAGGTTCAGAAGCACACTTCTGTTTCCATGACACAGATGGGAAAACCACCCCCTTAAGAAATGGTGCTGAAGGCATGAAAAGACAAGAGACAAGGAGATTGCTTCTGTTTGCATTAGACCGTTTGGCAGAGAGAAAGGGAAGTCTTCCACATACACCATTCCCAGGACAGTGACAGCTCAGTGTGGAGCAGGCCCCTGTCTGCTAGCGCCTTCCTCTCTCTGCTAGGGAGACCCATGAGACCCCATCCTTCCTGGGCTGCTCCTTAGTCCCACAAGCAGGAGTTTGCATCTCAAGTTGCTTCTCTCTAGGTTCAGGTAACTGGCCAAACCTGGATTACATCCTCACAGGCAAAGAGCGGGTGGTAGCTAAAGAAAATAAATGTTTTCTTGACTTTCTATGGACAGTAGGGACTGAACAGGAGGGAAATGTGACCATGCCAAAGTCTCCCCTGAGTGTATTCTTCAGGAGAAGAAAGGCTGCTGATTCAGTGAATCCTTGATTCTGGTAGGAACACACAGTGAGTATGAAGCAATTCAGAATGCCTTTCTAAGAAACAGCCTCTGGGGCTGTGGCCCTGGCAACTGGAAGGACACCAGTTCTGCCAGCCAGCACCCCATAACAGCTAGCAGGCAGCAGAATCTTCCCTGGGGAGAAGCATGGTGCCACTCAGCCCCAAGCAGTTCTCATCTCTCCAGGATCCTTCAGGTTACTAGAGCCAGGACCTGGCCTGTCAGGGGCATTTGGTGAGAGCAGGGCTCACCCTAGGTAGAATATACCACACACACTGTCTTGCCTTGACCTCATTCATATACATCTTAGTAAAGCATAAATCATTATGGTTTATTTTTAAAGTAAGACCAAGGGGTTTAGTGAGACATGCTTTACCTGACTTCACCCCTGTGATGGGCCATTTCTTCACTCCCTAATGCTTTTATAACCACTTTCTTAATAGAAGAAAACAACACCAAAGCCCCACATATTTTACAAAATCCCTTTGATAGGCAAAGCTCTTGCCTTTGGCCTCAACCTGGCTTCTCAGTAACTGTCAAGCTCTTGCCCAATTCCAGCTACCCTGCCCCAGGCTCCTGGCCATGTGGCCTCCTGTCCTGACTCTTTGTGAGTCTGGCTCTGAGAAAGACAGTCCCCATCACATGTATCCACTCACTTGTAGAAGGCTTGGTTCTCAATTCCACATTTCCAGAGGTGCTTACACGCTTCAGGAGTTGGAGCAAAATATGTAAGAATAATTTTCTTTTCCTGCAAAACATTCCACATAGATATGGCTGAGTATGGATGGAGAAGTCAAGGGTGAAGTAGACGAGGACCCTGACCCCAGAACTGTTAGAGGTCCTGGCAGCTGGCTAGTTGGAGGGGGGGCCCACGGGACCCACTGGAGCAGAGCTCAGTTCAGTGCATCACGTCACACTTGGCAAGTCCAATCAGGGTAAGTCTCAGCTGGCACGAAACTGGCACAAATTGAACCAGGCGAGCTCTTGGTGAGAAGGTGGCTCTTGCCTTTGGAATTTCCATATATATGAGAAAAAAAAAAAAGAGTCTTCCTTTGCATTTCCTGGAAGTGGAGATCTCTTGTGTGGAAGCTCTGGGTGTCAGCAGCATCCCTGAGGAGTCCTGTGCTCCAGGGCCTTCCTCCCCCTTTGCATTGTACCTCCAGGTCCTGACCTTGGTCTTGGCTTAGCATGTGGGTGGCTTGGCTCTACCAGGATCCCTCAAGCTTGGCTCTGGCCACCAGGAAGCATCCTATCACCCCAGCCCTCCCTGAAGAGAAGGAAGCCAGCACTTACCTCTTTCTGACTTACGTATAAATAGAAAGTCTTTCCTTCAAATTTCAACTTGGTCACCTCATTCCTAGAAGCACAAAGATAGTGCCTGTCACTTCATTGCAGGCTGCTTGTTCCAGTTAAATCTTGTAGATGCAAAGCCCACCCCAACTGGAAGGGGCTCCAGGCACAGACACAATTTTAGCCAAAATTAGAACTGAAACAAGACAGCAGCGCAGTGGCCTTAGAGAACGTTGTTGAAACAGTTCAATCCACAGTTTTCTGGTCAATCACACTATAGTAATAGGGTGACAGGAGGATTTCAGGCTTATCAACAGTGGCTGTAAAAGGGAAACAGTTGCATGGAAAGTGAGTCTAGGTAGAGTATCCAGGGTCATTTCAGGATTGGGTTCATTACACAGGTGCATTATCTGGATGGGACTGTCAAACGTAAGATGCCACAGGTAGCTGATGAGGCCAAAGTTCAAGATACAGCAAATAATGAGAAACAATGCAACCAGGTTCTGAGGGAGTTGAGTCTTTCAGGTGACTGTGCCACTGGATGGAAAATGCAGTTTAATGCAGACAAATATCAAACAATCTCAGGGAGCGGGGCAGGGCAACATACCAAAGAGAGAGAACAGATTACATGGAACAGTCATGCAGCGTACTGACCAGGAAAGGGGCTTAGGGGTTATTGTAGAAAAATCCTTGAAGCCACCAGCCCAGTGAATGGCTGCAGTAAAAGAGGCAAACAGGATACTGGGGTACATCACCCGTGGGACAGACACAAATCAGAAGAAGTGACATGGTTACTATACATGGCACGGCCTAGACCTCACCTCCACATCCACCTCCTGCTCTCAGCCTTGGTTACATCTGCAAAATGGAAAAACTACTGGGTCTTAGGTGAATGTCCCTGAGAGCCAGAGAACTAGGACTCAGCACTGGTCGCTCCTCACTTCCCTTCTATCTGCCCAACATAGCTGCCCTCTGGAGCCTCTCAGCTCTCTCCATGAAACTGGAGACCCCATTTCTCTACCCCCTGGGATCCCCAAAGCAGTTGGTCATGCACATCCACCTCCACTTGGCTGCTTTTTTTTTTTTTAAATAATTTCTAGGGAGATTTCCTCAATATCCTAGGAAGTAGTAGAAAGGTATTGAGAATCATGTATCCAATTTACTGCTGGACAAATTTCAGGGGACAGAGGAAAATCACTTGTTCTTTGCAGTCCTGGAAATCATGACGGGGGTCAGGATGAGATTTCACAACTTCTGACCACCAGTTCTGAGCTAACAGAAGCCACATGGTAACCCTTCCCTGTATGATTCCCTCTCAAACTCCCTCTCAACCATCAATCTCATGCACACACACAATATGATAAATGCCAATTGGTTAATATATAGACAAACACATAGATCATCTAGGTTCCAACAAGCAAGCTAGGAAAGGAGTTTTATTTTGAAGGTGAGATTGGGTTTACATTTATTATTAGAGTTGACACGGGGTGAAGAGGAGACTTCCAGAAGAAGTAGTGCATGAGAAAAGCCGTGGAAAGAAAAGCATCTGTGAGAACTAGGAGACATCATGGCTTCTGGAGGGGTAGGGATAATTTAGGGACTGCAGGTGTCTGTAACAGGTGTGTCCTACTTGTTTCTAGCTAAATATGACCCCTGACAGGGACCTGACGCAACAGCTACTCTGGCTGGAATGTGGCCTAGGATCTGGGCCGTCTAAGGAACATCAAATAGCCCAGATGTATCTAGGCAGCAGAGGCCCCACACTATGAGGGCTGTGGCCTGATCCTGCTCATTGTCTTTTTCTGAAAAGCATTTGCTTGGACAGGAGATTCCAAATCCTCCCATCTTCACCCAGAGAGCACAGTGAAGTAGGCTGACTTGAGGATGCCTAGGAAACAGGTATGTCAGGGTGTATTCTGGTAACTCCAGGACAGCAGCTGCCTTGTGTCGGGCTGTTGTCCTGGGGAATGAGGCCCCACCCCGTGGCATGTGTGAGGAGCAATTTCACCAGCACTCTGGCTGATGATCGTAATGCCATCCTTCACAAAAGCAAGATGGGCTGGAATGGTGTTATCTGTCCTCAAGCTCAAGCTCAGTGGGGGAGCTGAAGATGGCACAGCGGGGCAAATGGCCTGCAGTGGCTCCAGCAGAACGCTGACTAGGAAGCACCTGCACTCAAGATTCCTCATGAGCTGTCCCAGAGAAGGCAAAGAAACCAAGCAGCCTTCCTTCCACTGAACTCTGTTGGACCAGGAAGCCACTTATCTAAGACCCTAGGAGGAGTTGGCCAGCTTAGACTTGGCAGTGTGACACCCAGGAAGGTAAAGAAATCACAGGAGCTTAGTAGAATATGCAAAATGTTTTGATGCCGACAGATGTTTGTATGGGCTGGCCAGCTAAAGGGTCTCCAGGAGAGCCAAATGTCAATCAACAAACCACAGTCTGCCCAGTGGCATGCAGCAGAACCCACCCCAAACAAAACAGAGAGGGGTAGGAGAAGAAGCAGTTCAGAGTAGCTGCAGCGGAGGCAGTGGCTTGTGCCTGTGAGATGGGAGTGGAGAGGGGAGGGAAGGAAGAGTGGGAATATGACTCCTGGAGGCTGAGGACACTTAAATGCCAAAGAGGGATAGGAGTGAGACAGCAGCAAGTGAGCTCTTGCAGACACAATGCCCACAGTGAGGCCTGGTCGGAGGAGAGTGTTTTGCTAAAGTAACAGGGTGATTTATATGTGCCCCAGGGATCACTGTCTGTGAGCCCCCTCCCCACTCTTGTTAGCAGAGCAGGTAAGGGCACTAAGCCATCCACAGAGATGCTCCAGAACAGCTGGCTCAACAGGGCTGGCTACTGCCCTCAGTGGGTGATGCCCTCAAGGACTCAGTTCTCACAGGAGCTTGCTCAGCTAACACTGCCTCCAGCCCCGGGCCTCTCACTCTCCCCAGAAATCAAACCTCTTATCCCTTTTCCTCTCTGGAGAGGCTGTTGGCTCTCAGGGACACCCCTTTGGAAGAACAGGATCCCTAGGAAGAGACCACTCCCTTCATCAGTAACCACTATCAACGCAAGGCTTTGGAGAGGGCTCTGAACCAGAACTGCCCAATCACAGACAAAGGACATGGGAACCATCGCCCCTCCCCAGTTGGTGAGATACAAAGAGCCTGTTTTGGAAATGAAGACGCTCACCATTTAATGAAGTGGACCCTCTTGTTTCCTTGAAGAACAACAAACCCAAAGGGAGTGAAGGCCAGAAATGCAGCATTTCCTGACACGTCCTGCAACACAGAAAGACTTCTCACCGGGTGATGCAGGCATAGAGGTGAAAGGGTGAGAAACACAGCTGTTCATAGGTGACGAAGGGTTAACACTTGGCAGTAGGTCACAGAGTGAAAAGCATGTCATCTGGAATCACAAGACCACAGTTTGAGTCTCAGCCTTGCCACTTGCCAGCTGCATGACTACAGGCAAGTTACTTACTAAGCCTCAGTGCCCAGATCTGTTAAGTTGTAGTTTATAATGATACCAACCTTAGAAGGTTGCTGTGAACATCCAAAGAGATAGGCAACACCTCATGCATTGCTGATGGGATTGTAAAATGGTACAGTCACTTTGAGAAAGAGCTTGAAAGTCATTTAAATTGTTAAAAATAGAGTTACCATATGACCCAGCAATTCCACTTTTCAGTATGTGCCCAGAGAATTAAAAATGCACATCCACACAGAAACTGCTACATGTATGTTAATAACAGCACTATGTGTAAGAGCTAAACAGTAGAAACAACCCAATCCATTTTCCAGTGTAAAGTTTCCATTAACTGAATATACAAGTGGTATATTATGATACAGCAGAATCCTATTCAGCAGTAAAAAGGAACGAAGTACTGATAGACGCTACAACACGGGTGAGCCTTGAAAACATTATGCCAAGTGAAAGAAGCCAGTCATAAAAAATCATGTTGTAATCTTTTAGCTCTGTCAATATACTAAAAACCACTGAATTGTACACTTTAAAATGGCACATTTGGGCCAGCATGGTGGCTCATGCCTGTAATCCCAGCAATCTGGGAGGCCAAGGTAAGTGGATTGCGAGGTCAGGAGTTCGAGACCAGCCTGACCAACATGGTGAAACCCCATCTCTACTAAAAATACAAAAATTAGTCAGGTGCAGTGGCATGTGCCTGTAATCCCAGCTACTCAGGAGGCTGAGGCAGGAGAATCACTTGAAGCTGGGAGGCAGAAGTTGCAGTAAGCTGAGATCATACCACTGCACTCCAGTCTGGGAGACAGAGCAAGACTCCATCTCAAAAAAAATAGTTGGGGGGGGGCACATTTGGCTGGGTATATGGTGGATCATGCCTGTAATTCCAGCACTTTGGGAGGCTAAGGAAGGCAGATCACCCGAGGTCAGGAGTTTGAGACCAGCCTGACCAACACAGTGAAACCCCATCTCTACTAAAAATACAAAGATTAGCTAGGCGTTGTGGCACGTGCCTGTGGCCCCAGCTACTCGGGAGGCTGAGACAGGAGAATCACTTGAACCCAGGGGGCAGAGGTTACAGTGAGCCAAGATCACGCCACTGCACTTCAGCCTGGGCAACCGAGCAAGACTGTCTCAAACAAAACAAAACATGTTTTATATGTGGATTATATCTTAAAAGGCTGTCATTAAAGAGTGGGGAGTTTGTTATCACTTTCATAATAGTCCTATAACATTGGGCCCCTCAGGAAAGTTTAGCTGAAAAAAAAAAAATAAAGAGCAATTGGCCAAACAGAACAGTTGCCTTCAGCTCTGAGATGCCTGAACCAACAGAGAGGGTGTCCTGGTCACTGGACAGTGGGTAAACACCAGGCTTGAGGCTCCATTGAACACAGCGGGGAGGGGATGCAACAAAAGCTAAAGGTCCTGCTTCCTCATGTGGGAAAGTCAGCTCCATGAGGACTAGACTGGGTGGAGGATTTTGTCCTCCCAAAGGGGCTTCCTTTGTGACAGGGGTGTGAGGCGAGATTTGGTGCCATCAGGCTACATGAGTGGCTCTGGAGAGGGTATGAGTGTGTTGAGGTGACCAGAAACTTATGCCTTGATGCTGGTCAAACGTGTCTGCAGGAGAGTTTTCTGGGCCACAGCTCAGGTGGTGCCATGGAGTCAGGGCCAAACACTGGGCGTGAGGCATGGGTATGGGGGCAAAAGCTGCCGGCTGGGCCAGGATGGACTAAGGTTTGGCTCCCCTCGTCTCTCAGGTTTCAGGGCTTGCCTCCGTGGCACAGATTCTCTGTCTGATTGGTCCTAAGAACAGTGGGGCCTCTGCAGGGCCTCATGAGTCCTGCCTCAAGAAGCAATACAGTTTTGCTTTAAAACTCTCTCTCAGAGTCAGGGTTGTAAGTGTGAGCATCTGGGTCCAGGGAATAAACTGAGTATATGTTTGGTAAACATTTGTAATTAATGTATTGTTATTATTGTCCTTTCCTCAGGGTCTGTCATAATCCAGACACTTGGCTACAAGCACAATGTCATGGGCACAACAAAACGCTGTTTAAAAATAACTGGAATACAGACTGTGAAGCCACAGGGCTGGATTTCCTCCTGCTTGTCATCAGTGCTTGGTGGTGGTTATTAATATCTGAGTACCAGGCACTGCCCACAAACACTGTTCCTGCCACGAGGCACCAGGGCTAACCTGGCAGGCTTGGCAGAGGTATGGGTCAGGGAAGGGTGGCCTGCCTCTTCTGCTCACTGTGCAAGTAGGACCCAGGGAAGTTCTATAATTGCAGGCTTAGAAAAACAGAGGCTGGGAGTGGAGACCTTATTGTGTGAATGCTGGTGTAGAAAGGGCCTGCAGAAAATGTTGAACAGAGGAAGGTGTAAGACAGTGGGGTGGGTCTGAGGGACCAGTTTGGCTACAGTGGGGAACATCCATGTGTGGGTAAAAATGAGAAGGGAGGCAGAGGTGGGACAGAGGCATGGAAGGGGTCGTAATGCTCGCTGAGATAGAGGAAAGACCTAGGAAGAAGAGGTGGAGGGATGGAAATGAAGCCTTGGGCCTGCAGGGGGGTAGCAGACAGCTTGAAATAACAGGGGAAGAAGTAGGGAAGGGAGGTGGGGGGACAGACAGGGGAGGGAGACAGCAGAGGAGCCCCTCTGCTTCTTCCACTCTGGCTCATATGAGCAGTAACTTGCAGAACAGCACCCCACTAGAACCACAGTGCTGTGGGCTGAGTCAAACTGCTCGGGTCCAGGTCCAGCTCTGCCACTCACCGCGTGGCTATGGCCAGGTCCTCAATTTCTCCATGATTCAGACTCCTTGTCTTAGAATGAGGGTTTGATCATATTATCTACCTCATAGGTTATGTTTAGGAGGCACCCCACAAATGCTAGTGGCCATGGGTTTTTTTGTTTTAGAGACAGGGTCTCACCTTGTTGCCCAGGTAGCTCTTGAACTCCCAGGCTCAAGTGATCCGCCCACCTCAGTCTCCCAAAGTGCTGGCATTACAGATGTGAGCCACCATGCCTGGCCTGTGTTCGTTAATATTATTAGAGCTGGTAATAGTTAGCTGAGTTTGTTTAAATTAATGCAAATCCTTTTTTAAAAGAAATCTAGGCCGGTGGATCACAAGGTCAGGAGTTCAAGACGAGCCTGACCAACATGGTGAAATCTCGTCTCTACTAAAAATACAAAAATTAGCTGGGCGTGGTGGCGGGCGCCTGTAATCCCAGCTACTCAGGAGGCTGAGGCAGGAGAATTGCTTGAACCCAGGAGGTGGAGGTTGCAGTGAGCTGAGATTGTGCCACACCACTCCAGTCTGGGCTACAGAGCCAGATTCCATATCCAAAAAAAAAGGAAGGCTGGGCTCGGTGACTCATACCTGTCATCCCAGCACTTTGGGAGGCCAAGGCGGGTGGATCACAAGGTCAGAAGTTCAAGACCAGCCTGACCAAGATGCTGGAACCCTGTCTCTACGAAAAATACAAAAAAAATTAGGTGGGCATGGTGGTGGGCACCTGTGGTCCCAGCTACTTGGGAGGTTGAGGCAGGAGAATCGCTTGAACCTGAGAGGTGGAGGTTGCAGTGAGCTGAGATCGTGCCACTGCACTCTAGCCTGGTGACAGAGCAAGACTCTGTCACAAAAACAAAAAAAAAGAAAAACAGGAATCTAACATTTTACTATTATTCCTGATGTTGACAGATTTAAATTTTGCTAGTTAAGAAACAAAAATGTGGGAAGTTAGAATGAAAAAAGGAGAAGTAATTAATTGTTAGGGGACCACGGAGGAGTGAGATAGAGATGGGAACAGAGCCCATGACACAGTCAGAGATCCGCCAGAATCTTCTCAGTGACCTGTGTCCCTCTGGGCAGAGCAAAGGGAAGAGTCAGTCCCACAAGATGGGGGGTGCAGCCCAGGTTGCCCTGCATCCTGCAGATACCTCAGAGCTGGCCTCTGAGTGAAGGCAGGTGTTAGAGTGAGAGTTAGAGGGGCAAAGCCTCTCCTAACCAGACTGGCTGCTTTGGAGCAGAGAGCTGGGAATAAACCCCAATGAGATGCCACATCATTTTATAAGTAATAACAGTAACTTGAACAATCCCAATGCAGTCTGTCATATGAAGAGAGCAATTCTCCAAACTGTTTCAAATGCAACAGATGCAGATGATGGCCTCCAAAAGAGCCTAGCACCCGGGCAGGGGCAGGTGACAACTGGGATGTCTGCAACTTGCCTCAGGCACGTGAGGCTCAGCAACCAGTGTGGAAGGGACTTGAATTACAGTGAGAAATCTCACATCTGTACTGGCATGAAAATACGAGCACGCAGCCACACTGACACCTTCCCTGGAACTTCAGTTTCTTCTATCTGACTTGTCATTCTTGCTGTGAGCCTGCCCTTGGGGTTTGTGTGCAAGATAACAAGTTGCATGATAAAAAAGTGGAGGGAATGAGGACAAGGTGAGAAGTGAACAGTCAACAGTTGCCTGTTCTTCAGAGCTCCCATTTCATCAAGCTGGACTGTCTTTCCTCCCTGTCCCCTTCCCATCCCTATGAAATCAGTGCCCACAGGACTGAGCCATTAATAGAGTCAGAGTGGAATACAAACTAGGGTGCTGAGAGGTATGTCATGGCTACTGCCAGCTACACTCTGCAGCAGGTAATAGTCAGAATAATCTAGTTCACTTCTACAGTTCTGAGGTCAAAAAATTACTTTCAATTTCTCATCGTGAAAAGAGCCGTCTCGATTTAGGACCCCAGCTCTGCTTCTTCTTTGCTCTGTGACTTGACTTCTCCATAC